GTGGGGAGAGGTACAGGCCTAGCCCTTTAGCATCTTGTGTGAGAGCTCAATGAATCATAAACTGCTCCGAGTATCCTAGCTGGGTGTTGGCAGGACATTTTTCCATACAAGTGATATCAGGATCATGCCCTGGTCTGTTTTCTTGGCCAGTAAAACCAGACACATTATGAGTTGAAGTGCTTGGTTATGAAGACAGACAGCCTTTCCTCTGCAATACTTTGCAGTCTCCCATGACAATGGCAGCTGGTAAATGTAATGATATCAGTATGGCCACATGGCCTTTTTTATCCACCACCATAGCAAGATAACCACAAAAAGAAACCAAAGCTCTGTCCATTAATGTATCTGGGCATGAAGCCAACAGAACGCAGATCCAAAAATTTAGAGAAATCCAGGTGAACCTGACAATGGTCTAGCTTGACCTTTTAAATAAGAAAGAGGATTTGAGACATTACTACAGCTGGCATGGCAACAGTCCTGGCTCCCTTAGTACGTCCCTTCCCTCTTACCAGTAAGTGTTTGTTAGGGTCATCTTCCTATTTAGCACTGGTCTTTATCTGGCAGGAGGGGCCTGTTTCATTTTGCCACGCAGAGCCACCCCAGGTAACACAAGGCTTTGTACACAGCTAAGAAACTCTACCAGCACGCAGAGTACCTCTACATCCACCTGTTTTCCAGCTCTTCCTTTACAGGCAATCATCACAACCAAAACAAAGCAAAAAGGAGGCAGCACCATGAGTGACCCTGAGAGAGTCATGTGAATCTGTGGAGAAAAAGGCTGCTTGAGCCAGGCTATATATGTTGGTGTTTATGTATGAAAATGATGGAAACACTGAGAATTTCCATGAGAAGGAATGAAGTTTGCAGAATAAGAGTAGAAGTTTGACTATTCTGCCAAGAAAGTACTTTGAAATACCAAGTTCAAAGCTTGGACAGACCATTTCAATAATGCATCTGTTGGGTCTCCATTTTCCTTCTACTTTAATAGGTACGTTTCAGGCTTCACAGCTTCACTTGAATGAGTTTATGAGCTGAGAGAATTCAGTCAGAATTCTTGCCCATATGAAACAAAGAAGGTGGGAAGAGGCAGTGGGGTGAAGTACAGCATTAAAAACAGACTTCAGCTATTTCTAAAGCTGCTTGGGCACTTCTGCTCATGGCACAAGCTTATGCTACCCTTGGTTTTCACAGTGCTGCTGTTCAGGATGTAACACTGGAAAACAGTGGAAGTCAGAGAGAACATGAGAACAATTTTAAATCTCAACAGAAATAGAGATGGTATAAATTTGCTGGTAAATAGTCTGCAGCAAGAGAAGACCCAGAGCCAGGAGGGGCAAAAAGGACATTCATACTGAATGTCAAAGGGATATTTTTGTTCCCTTTCAGGGCAGAATCTCAGCACCTCCTCCCACTGCTGTGTTCTAAAAGGGTCAAACAGCAGAGCTTTTCCATATCTGAAATGATAGCTTCTAAAAACAACCAAAGCAATGAAGTATTTTACACACTCAGCAATCTAGCATTTTTATATATTTCCTAAAAACCTCTGGTGTTAAAAGAGTTCCTTGTCAGCTCCTGCCTGTGTAGAGCCTCCTAACAGTTCACAAATTGTCTTATCTGTTATCCCTCTTTTGTGAATGGTGCTCCATTTCCTGTGAAGGGTGCAAATGCAGTTTGATGCCATGTATTTTCTTTCCTTTAAAACATTCATAACTCATTGTCCTTAGCACACCATTATTTACCTTGGATCTCATGTGCAAATTTATGGAATTGTATTAATACATAGATGGAATAGCAAGTACTGTAAAATGTCTGATGGAGCCAGGTAGTGATTACTTGCAATGACATTTTATAGCATAACATTTCCTACATTAATATTGTAACTTGGCGATCCACAGTGTTTATGTAAACTTTTTTTTTTCTAAAACACAAGTTGTATTTTGATTATGACATGATTGTAAGGTTGCCTGGCTTTCTATCTCAGAATCAAAATTACTTTTATATCTTTTAATTCACCCTTTTCAATGTTTTCAGGTTTTGTGCAGTTCAAACTGAAACCCAGCTGGAATTAACAGCATTTCCTTGACAGTGGGAAGCTACCTGAGAACACAGCCCTCACCTGCCAGTAATGCTTCCAAGTAGTGCAGAATACACCAGGAATAATACGAACAAGCCCTGTTTAACACAGCTTAACCCTCAAAATCAGTCCAAAAGGTACACATTTGGCCTACATAAAGCTTCATCCAGCTAACCAGTTTTGCAAGATTTCCCTATGAACACTTGATATTGCATGACTAAATGCTTCATCCCTCTGGCAAGACTAACTGGAGTAGTTAAGTCAATAACAACTCATCTCCTAAGATTAATGAAAATCTCTTCTTGGAGATGTATCTTTACCAAAAGCTATTAATGGCATTAATGGCAGACTTGAGAGGATGCAAAATATTCTGCTGTCTGTATTAAGAACATACAAACACAGCAAAACCTGTCCCTAGTCACGTCTGCTTTTAAGACAAGATTGATGCAGAACAGCTGACATGAAGAGAAAGGTATAGATGAACAAGCAAGGGAGTTTAAGTTCTGACATAGAGATCATCTTTCACCAGAATTTTTACTGCATTGACAAACAGCTGGAGAGGGTGAGCCATGGGCCATCCTGACAAGGAAAACTGCATCTGTCAGAACAAGCTTAATTTTGAGCTAGGTGGAAAGGGAAGAGGGAGCATCTTTCTTGGAGAAACTACACTGTATCATTACTTGTCTAGGAGACAGTGAAGTCTAATAAACTTGGGGCTCTCCTGCCAGGATTTGTTCTCCCACATCTTTTCTTTTTAGAATTAAACCAGGAAGAACTTAAAGGTTATTACATTTTAACAAGATGAAAAAAATACTATATTATATTATATAGATAAATGTTACTTGTGATTAGCGACAACATACAGGTAGACAGCTTCACCTGCCAACTGATAGGCATTTAAACAATAAGCATAATAGGAATTACACGACAGATATATAGGAGGTGATTATTTAGAAAAAGAAAACAAACCACCATCAACATCCTCAAATCTCTTGGAATCTACACTTCACGTTTCTGTTTAGCTAACAATTTCATTTATGAATTACAAAGCATTTATCTTGAATAGTACAGATGTTTAGTGAACAGAATGATTCATCTCTTCCTATCCACTTTCTAAGTAGGACAAAGAGATGCCTCCAGGAAGCGTGTGCTAGGACAAAAACGTCTGTCATTAAGTTGTTGCTTCCCAGATAATAACTACCCTTGAAGGGAAAAAATTGGAAATATTGCTGCCAAGAGTACTTACGTAGAGTGATGCTCTCTAAAGTGACTGTACCCCAGTGACTCTTACTTCTTGTTTCTTTTCCTCTCACCAAATTTTACAGTCTTGCTCCATTTTAAAACCAGTAGCACAGCCTTATTGACTTGTATATGCGGGAAGTAAAAGCCTGAATGGGTTTCATGAATGCACCTCATAAACACTTCCTCTGATTTCAGAAGTTATAAGAAAAAAAGTTTTGGGTTGGAAGGATTGAACAAAAGTGTAAATCACCCTAGGGGATGAAGAATATCTAAGATAATATGGATTCTTATTGACATTATATACCACAAAAGGCAAGAGCATGAACACATCAGAATTTACAGCCCTTTATTCTTGAGCTTTTAAACCCAAAATTGTATTAAGATATTATGTCAAACTTCATATAGTTTGCAAAGAGTTTTCTAACTGAATTCCAAGTACATGCTGTATTTAATACATAGCTCATGAATTTCATTACTGTGCACTATGTTTGCTGACACATAATGAAAATGAAGTTGCATAAATTAAACATCTGCTATATTCACTCTCAGTTTCAGTTATATATATGGCATGAATATTTGTATGGTTTTATAGGAAAGACTGAGCAGGTAGAAGTTCTAGTAAACTTTTCAAAATTGGCAAAGAAATAGTCATACATATTTGCAAAGAATATCTACAGCTGCAGTTCTATCTGTGCTGGTGTCCTTCAACTATGGCATTAACAGGACCACAAATTTATATGTTGAGTAAAAGTTGACTCTCTCCTGTCCTTGTTGGCTCATATCCATTTTGTATGTGACAGCTTTGTTGCTCTGTCTCCACCTCATTTTTTACTTGGAGGAAGGCAATGACATAGAGAACCCCAGGGACATGAGAATGCTCCATAAACATGATTAGAGCATTCAGCCTCTTCATTTAAAGCAAGTACCATATTGCTACCAACATCTGCTTCGGGCTGTAATTGGGCCCTTAAACAAACCACACAATCCTGAATGAGCAGAGCCCTCTAACACTGTTGATTGTGCTTGCATGTTTGGCAGCTACAACCGTGGCACCTCGTACTTACTGTTATGTTATTGTGCTGGTATCCAAACGAATTCCTTTGGAAGAGAAAAGTTATTCATCTGTAGCCTGAGTTCTCAGAGGTGACCCTTTAGAGTCTAAACGGTATTTCTGTGAGAAGGGCTCTGCACATTGGGGTGTGCAGTTCATATGAGGCAGCAAGCTTATAGCACAGGCACATGGACTCTGTAAGTGGTAATAATGCAATCATCTAAACACCACCACTAAAAAGTCTGTGTCTGTACTGTCTCCACCTAAGAAGGTGAAATACATGACAGTTAATTGCTTTTCACACACAACATTCTGTTTTCTGTTAAACATCATTTTCTCAAGAACAGCAGAGTACCTCCAGCTAATTGTTCACTTGTGAAGAATTAACCACTGAATATAGCATCGCATTCTTCTGGGGAATGGACTGATCAATAATCAATGTACTGATTGATTATTTCCAACATGAAACTGAGAGGTATGGAAAGGCGCGTTAGGATTTTAGCATATTTCTAGCACAGATAGAGCTGCATGTGAAATCTTGGTTATGGCAATATCCTCTAGATGAGTCACCAAACAATCTTTGTGGCTGCAAAGAAAGGACCTGTTATTTATCTCCCTTATCAATGACATTACCTGTTGAACATCCTGCTGGAAAACACAGAGCTGCAACCTTTGATGTAGCCGGACCTTTCTGTGCTGCCAGATGCTCTCCAGGCGCCGCTGGTGGTGCAGGACTTCATGTACCACATCCAACACCTGGTGAACAGCCTTGGAGTAGTTTGCAGTAGCAGTGAGGGATTCAGAATTCCCAGGGCTCAAGGGACGCTGTAGGACATCCAGCAAGGCTTTTCCATCCTGGCTCACCTAAGTGAAGAAATAGGTCTTCTTCACTGCACTGATAACTAAACATCCAATAGCTGACAGAGAGCAGTCTAGCCAATTCTTTTTCTCATGTGTGTTTCCCTTAATTTAGTAAAAAAGGATTCATAACACCTCTTTTTGACTTGTACCTACACATTCAGGACTTGCCATTTCTTCTTAGTGGGCCTGCTGTGCCACTCAGCAGGAGCACAGACATTGCACTGCTGGGACTGCATACATAAAGACAGAGATCCCGAGACAATATTACGTTCTGACACTCAGGCACTGAAAATTCTTGACATGTACTAGTTGATGACAGGTGGCATTTGCAGCAGCAGGCCTACTTTTGTGAGGAGGTGGCATTTTAAGAAAGCCACAGATGGCAGAGTCATTCATATTCTGTATGATAGGGGAGAGTCCTTTCTTTGCAGGATTACTAAGTATATATATATACTTTGAGAGGTATAACATTCAAATTCTGTATTTCATTCAGTGGCAGTGAAAATAGATTAGTAAATGATGGTGATTCTTTTCTTCCCAGGACAAGCTCGGAGGGACCTAGAGTCTCCATTCAGTCATTTCCATGTTCTCCTGATAACTGCAAAAATAAATCATCGAATCTCTTTTAATGTGAATCTTCTGAATTTTTCAAGGACCACGCAAGGAGACAAGCACTAATAACTCAGTTTAGTTGCACCACTTATGTCTCATGATGTATTTTTAAGAAGTATTGCAAAAGTCTTAAACTGCACCCAGCATGACTTGCAGTCCCCGTGTCAGTGCTGCATTTGTCAAAGCAAATTTGACCATTTCTCACTTATTTTGAGAAGTACAGAATTGCTGCTGGACTCTCTGGGAAGGTTTAACTCAACACCTGACACAACACACACACATTCCTGTAATATGGTGATATTCCTGCATTTTGGCTTCATGCTAGAAGAAGAGCTAGAATGGGCAGTGTGCAAATGTCTCTGTAAGGAGTGATGTGACCTTGGATGAAGAAAAAATTGGATTTTGTTATGATAGTGGAAAAATCTTCATGCTTGCATTATACATAGCTAGGGAATAAGTAAAAATCTGTAGATATGCTATGGAGTAGGTCAGAAAGACCTCTAAAGCCTTGCAAGTGAATAGACTAATGGTACCATCTGCGGAACAGCTACAATTTGGACCAGGAAAAAAAACCTGGTCTTCAGAGAAAATATATCACGCCTCTGGGAACAGACAGTGAAGTGCAGTTAATCAAGTCACACAGAACAAGATGCTCTTACCATCAACCAGGCTCAAGCCTGACTGGAGCAAACCTCTCTCTCTCTCCCTCCTTATCTTTACCAAACCAGTACAGTTCTCAGCAGGAGTGTACCAAGTTTGTCTCCTGCTCTTCATCCACTAGAAATGCTGGTGGAGCAACATAAACACATCCTGGCTAGAGATGTCTAGAGGAACATTTTTGCAAGAGGGGAACCTGCCCAAGGCATATGTCTTGTGCATCTGGTCCCTACAGCATATTCCACACAAAGTAAAACAAGACCACCACTTGATTCTGAGAAGGAAGAAGGCCTGTTGTGCCAGCAGCTCAGCTTAGCACAGGAGAGGACTGCTTAGCTGTGGATTGCATATCAGGCCCATGATCTCTGCCTTCAACCTTTCTGAGCTTTACTCAAGTGCAATAAAGGAAAGAAGCTGTACTAATTATGGCTACAAGCATGACAAAATGAGAAAAAAAAACCAAACGTAAACAGTCCCTAATGATTCTTTGGGCATCTCATCTTAGGTTCCTGCAGTGACTTTGACCTGTTTTGTTGTACTCTGTAACAGACTAGAATAGGTCCATATATCCTATTAAATGTTGCTTAATATCTTCTTAAATATCCATATTAAATGGTTATGCCAAGGAACGTTCATTCAATCCCAAATCTCTTACAATTATAGAAATAGAAACAGAGATTTTCAATGACTCTGCAGGAAAAGAAAGGAAAAGCTACTATTTTAATCCTACCATAGAGAGCTCTGATAGAAGAAACATTATTTTCTGTGAGCAATGGGCATTATCTAGACTGGAGAAACAGGCATGTGGAGAGGAGGCAGGACTCCTGAGTCAAATCCAGGCTTTTCAGCTCACCATGTAGCTATGGGAAAGGGAAGAACATTTCCAAAATAAGACTGTAACCTTTCTGGCAATTCTACATTCTGTTTAAAGGTGTACTTATCAGTGCAATACTACAGAAACATTTTTAACTGCTGTGTCTGCAACAAGTTACAGCTTTCTGAAGAAGCATCAGCAAAACTAATATTCATGTTAGAGGATGCTTCTGGTAATGGGTTTTAGATTAATTTTTATTCCACAAAAACTAAGATTTGGACTGATTAAAAAAGTTAGTTTCAAATATTATTATTTATTTAATCAAGCCTTGATTTAATTTTTAGAAATAATTTTAAAATCCAATTAAAAAAACTTAGTTTCACCTGACTAGGCACTTCTATAACATTCATAGTTGCAACTAGAGGTCAACAAGACTGTTCTGTGTTTCCTCACACAACCTGTTGTTCCTGAGAAGCCTCAGTAATGAATAAGGAATTGTACTTGCTGATTGCAACCCAGATTTCCTCATTCTAACTGACTCCCAAAGTCTTGCAGGTGTTCAGAAGAGAAGCTGTTTCTATGTAGCATTTCTTACATTCATCATCAAATTATCTGCACAACTTCACTACATGTGAATGGCTTCCACCAAACCTAGATTAGCAAGTCCTTTTTTCTCAGCAAGGGCTGAGCATAGAAGACAATTTTTATGTTCTGTTCTGGTGTCTTTTCCATCTAAAGCAGCATTCATAGTCTCTTGCAGCATTCATAGTAATGAGGACCTGACTTTGTATATTGAAGGAAAAAGCCTTTGGCATCCTCTTCTCCCATTGGCCTACCTGTGCTAGAGCCAGGACTCATTCACAGAAGGAAAGCAACAGGAGCTAAAGCTACTGGGGGCTTAAAGGAGCTCCTTGTTCAGCAAAGGCAAGGGTATTCTTTGGGGTGCCAAAACCAGTTCTAGATTTCATTTCTGTATGGGGTTGGTGGCCCTGATTTTCCTGTTGTGCTCTTACAAGCAGATTGCAAGGAGTTGCCTCCTACAGCCTGGGATTAGATCTGGCTCCTTTAAAAAAGTTGCAAAAATGGAAAGCAGAACCTCATTTAGAAAAGCTAAGCTCCAAAATGCAGTCAAATATCTGTCATCACTTAACAGACACTCACATTCTTCTCTAGGAAGCACATACCTCTGTGTAGGCCTGTGTTACTTGCTCATACAGGGTCTGATGATGATGGATAGCCAGTTCCAAGTCTTGCATTTCTGAGGGGAGGCCTCCTTCACTGCACATTTTGCACCAGGCATCCACACCTGAAAGGAACTGAAACAATTCCAGGAACAATGAGCAAAGAGCAACACAGAACAACATCTCATTAACATCAGAAAACATTATTTGTAGAGTGCCACGAATGACTGCAAGGTGAACTGAGGAAAACGTAACTGTTACAAAGGAGTCCTTTAGGACACCCCAGAACAGCACACTCCTGTCACCTTCTCAGTACTTGAAGAAGACCTAGATCTAAATAAATGTTTTCTCTTTCTTCTAGATTAAAGACAAATGCGTTAACCAGGCTCAGAAAACATTTCACAAGCCATTGTTTACCATGATGGGAGGCTACAATGTTGTATTCCAAAAAACGATGCTGCAACACCTTCAGAAAAGCCATCTGTTCAAAGCACACAAGGACACAGAGCTCCAGCTCTACTTAGCATTGTCTCAGCTGTCAGTCTTCCTCAGCTCCTACCTATCCTTAACACTACTAATTTGGGCAACAGAAAACTCTCATTAAAATCAATGCTGATAGTCATTTCAGGGAAAGGCAGACAGTCTGTATTCAAGTTGTTTCCAACCCAGAGCCAGCTCAGTGGGATTGTCAGTAGAATATCAAGGCTTTAAACCCCTGGGTCACACATTTGTTTCTTGCCCAGGTTAGCAATGATCAGATACTATTACTACCTGATGGCTGCTAAGCAGCCAATGCAAAATGAGCTGCTGGTCTCAGTCCAGTGCCTCATGGGCAGCCATCCACAAAAAAGGAGAGAAAAATCATCACCATTGCAAGTGATATGGTTTAGCACCTTGGTTGGAAGCCTTAGCCAGCCAGAAACTGAATGGCCTCAAGGAACAGAGGGATGGGAAAAAAAAAATATTTTTTCCATTCTTAAAGCCCTCCAAAGCAGTTCTGATACACTTTGGCAGAACAAACTGGGGAAGCTCTCCTGGGTGCTGCCTGTTCTGTAAAAGAAAAGAGGAATTTAGTCTTTAAGGTTCCCGTCCTGTTTTTCTTTAAAGCAGGGTTTACTTCAATGACACAGCTCACATATTCACATTTTGTCCATACTAACTGCCTAATGCCACTTCACTACTTCTCATTAATATTTTCTCTTCCTCCATATTTCTGTTAAACCCTGCCATACTTTGGGGATATTTATAATAAAGAACAGTTAATTATGCAACAGATGCAGTGCCCTGTAGGATGAATATCACAAAACCAGCCCCAGGATCACAGCTTTATCCACTCTTGAAGTGTTCACCTGTGGCTTGTTAGTAAAGCACTCACTCAGCATGAAGGGTTATGAGATTCAAAGCAAAGAATTTCAATTCAACTCTGGCTCTGGCATCAGCATCCTTTTTTTCATCAGCAGTATGAAGCTATTTACCATGCTGCTGTGTAATCAAGGCTATAAAGTGTTTGCATTGTAAACACTTTTTCCAGTGCACAAAGACATGACAAAGATAAACTCCTAAACCTTCATGTCTATAACATTCAAATCTACCAGTGAAGAAATGTGTGTTCTAGAAGACTGTAGGCAAGGATGTCAGGTTCTCTTGTGTTGGTTTGACTCCTCATCTGTTGAATATCTTCAGATTAAATCCCCAAAAACTCTTGCATAAAGCTGAAGACACCATATTTTGTGCCAAGGCAGTGGAATTCACATAATTTCCTATGCAGTTCTAAGATAATGGAGTTGAGATCAATCCCTTTTGGGCCTGTTACATGAACCTTTTGGTCAAAACAGTGAACAGAAGACCTTTGTAACTCATAAACCAGTGTTCCTGCTGCTGGAATCACATTGTTATGGCTCTTATCAAAACTGCTGAATTCTACCCATTTTAGTATAAGCTTTTACAGTTATGTTACTCATATACTGCCATATCCCCAGTCTGTGATTTGCACAGTGGGTGGAGAAGTCTCAAGATGATCCTACACACATAACCACATTTCCACCTTGTTGTCTCACATCTGTCTTTCTTTTGAGCATCAATTGTATGTAGACAATGTCACATCAAAAATTATATCAGTGATTTCACTTCTGCCACTAGCAGGAGCAGTTGTTATCATCTGTTTTAAAAAGTTTTAAGAAATGCAGCCTGTCAGTGTTCTACTCTGGTACATTGCAACAGTGCATGGTGGTCTGTGCTGTGTGTAGGTTCACGTAGGAACAGCTTTTTTAAAGGAGTGTTAGTTCATACCATAGGACTATTGATTCGGGTATTTTGAAAAAAGCATCTATATTAATTTCTATTATTTGTCACATGTTGTGGAAGACACGAAAGGCTTTATTAAATGTAACCCTTTCAAGCTAGAAAGATACTCATATCACAAAAATCACCATTTGACGGAGTTGAAAAGAAGATGCATTTAAAATTGTGAATTACTAACTGTTCAGTTGGAACAGGGGCTATTACTGTCCACTGGGTACTCAATACCATTAAAATGAATTGCTTAAATTTCTAGTTAGCCCATAGACTGAGTAGCTCCTATTAGGAACATAAAAGCTGCTTAAATATAATTTGAAATGACAGCCTCCAATAATCGTTCATGTTTTTCAAGACTTCATGAAAGATTAAGAAAAATTTCCCCTAAAAAATGAAAAAGTCCCTAGGGTACCTTTGTGCCCCTGATCCAATCCAAAAGTAAGTTTAAAGTAATGACCTACACTTACTCCTCACAAACTACTCACCTAAGTTGCAAATTTTGTATTAGGTAATGTAATAATGTATTTTCAGACCACTTCTTGCTACTTTTCCTCAGGGACTGCTACGCTGTATGACACAGTTGCTCCAAAACACAGCTCACACATATTATGGCCCATATTTGTTTACAGTTTTGCACAGTCCTTGCTTGTGCACGCTAGGCCTCTGTGTGGAAGCTGCAGGATAACCAGGGTGGCTCCCCTCGGGCCCAGGTAAATTAGAACCAAACTCTAGTCTGCTTTCATGCTCCAGAGTGGCTGTGGAGAAAGATGGAAAGGCAGCCATGAAATTGGCTTCCTCAGGGACATTTAATATCTCTTCATGCTCTGCTTTTTTTTTTTTTTTTTTTGGTATGAGACTAATTGTATATTTCCTGTTGTTGTTTTTGGAATTTTCCTATCTAATGCAGAAATTATCTTGGTCTTATCCCTGCATCTTATAGATAACCAGCTTTCCTTTTCCTCCCTTTCCTCAAATTCTTCCTCCCTTTTTATTTTCCTGTCTTTTTAATTTCCTTTATTCAAATAGGGGAATTCAGGATGTGCTTAGAGAGATCTAGGTGGAGATGAAAACATTAGTCTTCCTGGTTGGGGAGTAAAGTACTATGAAACAAGTTGTCAGGGGTCAGTCTTCAGAGAATCAGCAAAAAGGTGTGAATGTGCACCTTACACCTACTACCTTCAATAGTAACTGCTTGTGAACCTCTGACCCAGAATTAATTGGTTGAGGTCTCTCAGCTGATTGAAGACATTACTTTGTTCATTCTGACAGGATCTGTAGTGTAACCATCTTACAAACACTTTAGCAGACTTTCAGAGATCACAACCCAGAAAGGGAGGACACCTGGTCTGTCTGTTTCCCCCATCTGGGAGTTAGAAGGTCAGAATCTCATCTGGTGTAAATCAGCACGGTTCTCCTGACATCACAGTGAGATAAGGCATGCTCTCTTACATTATCTTGCAACTCTGCATAGCCTCAGATATATTGAAAGCTACAGGAGCAGATTCTCTCTTGCAAAAACAGAAAGAAAAAAAAAAAAAAAGAGAGAGCAGGGAATTAAAAAGAAAGTACCAATATTTTTGTAGCAGGTGGAATTAAGGGATATTTGGGAAACACCTCCACTGAATTTCCTAAGTTGCACCTTAACTTAGTGGTTAGCTAGATCAAACATGCAAGAGTTTTCTTTTTCTTCTCTCTCTCCCTTCTCTCTCTCCTTTTCTTTTGTTTGCTCTTTTCTTGATGATGGTTTGATGGTTTAGTGTGTAAAATGTGTGTTTATAAAAAGTAAGGAAGACATACACATGCAAACAAGCACACACATACAAAGAAGAAAGAAATAAAGAAAAACGCACACATAAACAAAAAAAAGGAAAAAAAAGCAAAAAAAAAGCAAAAAAAAAAAGCTTTGATCCAGGAACTCATTCAGCCCATTTCCATTCAACATGCCACATGTATAAGAGCCAGGAAAGCAATGTGATTCCAAGGCACGTGAAGACAGATGTGAGGTTCAATTCCCAGCAGGGTTGACTCAGCCTTTCATCCTTCCGAGCCAGACAAATTCTATTCTCTGCAGTTTTCTGTGTGGGGTCTTTAGGAAGAGACCTTGAAAAACAAGTTGCTTCCTGCTCAGCTTGCATATTACAGAGATCGTAGAGCTTTTCATAAATCTCTGTCCTGAGCCAACAACTTCCTTGCAGGCTGGGGTGTGCCAAAGGCTGAAAGATTATGGCCCTAAGAGACTTGTATCCTGTTGGTATCTCAGAGAACTTCAATCAATAGGAAGGAAGGAACAAAGAGACTGCAGCAGCTTACTACACTGGAGAAGGAAAGACAATCTGCACATCAGATGGGTATGAGGGAAGCAGAGCACACTGGGGGAGAAATGGCTGGATCCACAACAAGACTACCTTTACTGACAGAACAAAGGGACTGAAAAAAGATTTGATCTGACACAGAGGAGTATATTTATCTTTGCTTCAGAGATTCAACTCTATTGTAAAATAATGAAGCCCTGACTTGAGTAAAACAACTACAACTGGGTGATGCCAAATAATAGAGAGTCACATTGGGAATGAATGTTTGATAGACAACAGACTGAATTATAGACCAAATCTAAACACCTCACTTTTTATACTATTCAGAGGTCAAATGATTGAATTATTAGCATTCAAGCCATTGGTTTATCATACCAGAGCTAGTAAAGCAAGGCTGAAATTCTAGTCCTGGGTCCCACATTTCTTTTTTGCAGCAGTCTGAGTTCACAGGCTTTGCATCAGCACTTACCTTCCACTGAATTGTCTTATTGCAAGTGAGGAGCAACAGCTCTTCACAATTAGCATATTCTCTTGTTTGTTTAGAAATTAGACACTAGCTTCTGTCACACAGCACAAACTTCAGTTCCTTATGAAGAGGTGGCAAGGCAAAACTAGGTTTTTCAGATCCATCCATATGATGGTAAAGAAAAAAGACCCAAAGCTGAAAGTGACATTAGTGCTGCTTTTTTTCAAGTTCAAACTGAGGCAAAATACCCACTTTGACAGTGTTCAAAAGGTAGGAAGACAAAAAAAAAAATAAATCATTTCTAGCTTGACTGACAGTTCAATACAGCTTTCTGGTTTATCACCTGTAATGCTATACAATACCTCAACAGCTCCTCATAAATTGAACATAAGACTGACACTTCAGAAAAACAGGGGATTGCTTGTAAAGAAAAAGCCGAACCCAAACACCAAACAAACAAGAAATAACTGAATTATCAATAAAACTTGTACATCCTCACTGTAACTATAGACTGGATATAAATTATTTTTTTATATATTTTTCTTTATGAACATATGATGACTGACAGCTATCAACATGAAGACTACACCTGAACGCTACAATACCCACTGTGCAGAGATGAAAGTACTTGTACTGGGCATTTTAAGATTATCAGTCCCATCAGAGCCACTGAATGTGCTTACATGAGTAAGTGCCCAGTAGGGTGAGTAATTGCTCTATTCTATGGCCTCTTATCAATAGGAAACAAAAAAGTAAAGAAAAATCCATTATAATTCTACAGTAGAAAACAGGCAGTAAAGGAAATCTTTACTCTTTGAGCTAAAATTCCCATATATATATTGTGCCTTATGAGATATTTTCTGGCTTATCAGTTATAATTTCTTCTTCAGACACTTGAAGTACAGATAATTTTAGAAATATCAAGCACATCTACTTAATAGCTTTGGTATTAACTACTTGGAAAAACAAGCACACAACAATACTGAAGAAACCCCCAAAGCAGTGTTTGCCACTGGCAACTTAATATAATTAATGTATGATCACAGTTAAACCATCATCGTTAAGTGGACCTAGTTCAGGTGTAAAAAAGCAGACATACTCACCAACATATTTAAAATCTTTTGTAGCTATAAAATTATGGAACAATTTTGGTAGAAATGGAAAATTTTCTTGCATATTCCTAGCTGTCTCTGAAGTCTCTACTTAATGAGGTCTAACAAATTTTGGAAATATAAAAAGCTCTGCAAGAGTAGGTGGTGGAATGAAGTCCCTAGGTTTCATTAACAATAATGTGACTTGGCTCCTAGAAATTGTCTGTGTGTATGGGCTTGTCATATGTGTGCATGTTTCTGTGCACACAGCAAATACCTCATGCACATATGAGTGCAGAGACATATTGTTTTCCTGAATTTATCCACAGCACTGATGCAATGTGAGGCAACTGAAATAAGGCAGCATGTTACAGCATCAACGCACTTATCATCAGATTCTTTCTCCTCACTAACACTTAAATGCATTTTCTTACACATTTGGGGAAGATGTGCCAGTTTTTTGAGGGAAATGTTACTATTTGTTTTTGTGACATCAATCCACTAGGAACTTCAGTGCACACAAGCCAAAAGCCAGCAGGTAATAACTGCAGCATCACCATTATCAAAGCAGCAGTGCAAAGTAGCATTTAGCCAGTCACAAAACCAGCTCACCTGTTCAGCCTTCTGGTGAAAGACAGCAGACATGGCTAAGATAGTGCTGCGTTCATCCAGAGCTGCAGCAAAACTCTTCCACTCTTGATCCAGCTGGCTAGATATTTGCTTAATTTGCTGGGAAGCATAATGGCCTGCCTCAGAAAGCCTTGATGCGACAGACATGATCCGATTGATGTTGACATAGGCATTCTGAAAATTAAAAAGCACACGTAAATAAAGAGAAGGAAGAACCGTGACCACCCTCTGCCTTCATTACACATTCCAAACACCATCAGTTGGAGTAAAGCCGAGCAGTTCAGTGAGAGCAAACACCTGCTTAAATATGCACGAATAGCAGGCACACTACCTTCCACTCTAAAAATACAGCTCTCAAGAATCTTTTTGCACATCTATATTTAACAATTCTATCTCCTGCTGTCCCCTTGACTATGTGAAATTAATTTGCCATACTTCAGCTATTTACTCACCTGTTAGGATCTACACATTGCTTCTTTTTTATTATTGATATTTCTGTTGCATTACTTTGTATTTCTGGATGCCTTACCCACATATTCATAAGTGAAATGTCTGCTTTCTGTCTATTGAGAACTCTCTAACAATCCTTTATAGATGTGCAGTCTCAACAAATGGAAAAGTCTTATAGAATTTAAAAGAGCTCATGAGGATATTCTACAGAAGAGTTTCCATAGAAATGTCTGTTAAATTATATTCTTCAGTTCAAATGTTATCTTTTCTGCAGGTTATTTTCAGCTGTGCTGCAGCAGAGATACCATTTAGCTACATTCTGAATTTAGAAGGATTCACAAAGCAAACTAAAAAGGGTTGTATTTTCTGTTCTTTCATAAGAATTTTCCATGATGGTTTTTATTTGGCCTTGAAGCAGTGGAAGAAGAGTTTCTTTTTGTTCCTTAAACTGAACTGTGGACAGCAATGTAATTGCATTATAATATTCCCCCATTCTGCATAGGAACATAAACCTGAGAATAAATAGCCATCATGACAACCTCCTACAAAGATGCACCATCAAAAGACAAATGACAGCTGTCTGGCAGATTTCTGGAATGTCACTTGATGTAAACACTTATTTTTCTGTCCTCCTCACCAGAGGAAGGGAACATCCAAGAAGTTGAAATATTTTGCTAATGTTGACTCATCACTTTATTGTCTAAAGAATTTCAAAGGGACTTCAGGAATTTAACAGAACAGAACCTGTAAGACCCTTATGCACACAGCCCTGACAATTTTAATAGTATTACTTATGAGCAAATAATAAATCAAAGGTAGAAGTGTTTGCTGGAGCAGGATCTCATCATAGCAAGTGGGAGCACAATGTGGAAAGGTATCTGCCAATCCAAACATGAAACACAACAGAGCGCTGCCAAGGCAGGCACAGGTCCAAACTCAGTTGTGAAGCACAGCAAAGTATGTCTGCAATGTGTGTGGGATAACTTAGAAGTACACTCATCATACCTGGAGGTGCTAAAGAAGGATGGTGCCACAGCCCCTGCAGCCACTCTGCTCTCCCTGGTAGAGCCACGACTGTGACATCTATCACATAAATACCACATTTAAAGCAATGTCCAAGCCTCCACTTTTTTCTTTGGGCTTTTTGTTTGTTTGTTTTCCTCCATATCACATAGCCTTTTCTTAAAAATTAAACATGGGACAAAACCATCCATTTTAAAAGAAATAAAACCACTTTTTTTTGGTACAATTGAAGGAACAGATCAACATTTTTCTGGAGTTCTAAGTATACAAAAAAAGATACGATTAGGAATTTTGACCACCAGCTGCACTCAAAGATTTCTTTGTGTCTCTATAAGTCAGAAACTGCAATTTATATTAAATATTTAAGCCTTTTTCCCAGAAAGTCTTCATGGCTGAGCCTCAGCCAAGATGACTGGAAGCATTTCAGGTCAGCTCTTCTGGTGGAAAGTAGTGTAGCATCACTATATTTGCTAGAGCTTGGATGTGTTGCACCAAAAAAAGAGATGGAACTTTGCTATGTTTGAAGAAAAAGAAAGGTTCTGGGGTTTTGATGTCATGTAAGAAATAGTTGTGTTCATCTTGCTTTTAATTGTTTATTCCCTTCCCTGCAAAAGAGCATGGAGGAAAACAACTCTGAATTATTTGGTTCTCTATAGCTACAATGAATAGATGTATTAACTAGCAGAATGGTAAAGGTAAGATTAGTTGAAATACAGCAGATGTTCTTAAGAGTCTTTTTTATAAGTTAGGAAGATTTATATATTATTATATCTGTTATATTTTTATACAGAGATGAGGATGGATGAAATTTCACTTTCTTAGATGAGAATGGCCCTCTTTGTCCAGCAATTCTTAGTACATTTCTGTCAGCTAGACAAGGCCTTGATTCAGGTAATTCATGTTCATAACACAGCTGTTCTTCCAGTGTAAGTGATCACTGCTAAGTTCCCCAACACTTGGCAAGGCAGCAGCCCTCAGTCTCCGCCATAAGCACCGACAGAAGTGCCAGTTCAATTGTGGAATTTTCTCCCACAGGGAAAAACACTAATTCAGCCCTGATCATCTAGTGAACATGCTGGGAGACCTTCCCTCTTAATTGAACCCTCCAACTCTATCTGGAGAAATACTTTCTTCTAATACATTTTTAAAAAGAACACCTTACACTCACAAAAGAAAAATTAACTGTGAGAAGCATTAAATTTGCAAGGAACTTGGCTGTGTTCACTTTATTTCCTAGAGAACTAGGTGAGATACTGTGATGCCAAGCAGCGAAGGTGGGCTTCAAGACAAGGGTCTTACAGATTAATTCAGAGTGAAATGTGACTGTTGAAGAGTTCTTTGAAATAAAATAACCAACTTGCACTATGTTACTGTGAGTTTAGGAACCACCTGTGAAATGAACCTAACAGATAAATCCAAAGGAGAATGTTTCAGCGACAAAATAAACTCAGGAGATATTTTCAAGACCTTTAAGTTTCTATAGCAAGGCCAATTATAGGTAGCCTGTTGCAGAATAATATTGGATGGCATTTTAGCTCAGCCTACATACAGAAAAACATCGCTCACTTAAGACAAATGTTGGGAATTTCCAGCAGACATCATTAGCCTTTATACATGATGATTGTAATGTGTTTGAAATGTATTGCTACTTTCTTAGGACAACCTGCATCTCCATCTAGTGTCAGACAGGTAACTCCTGGCAGCAGGATGGGCAGCAATGCCAGCACAGAACATGGCCATTTTTATGCATGTTCCACAGAAAGGCAAACTCATTATTTAAGGAGGTTCCCAGGTCCAGGCATAAAAAAGTCCTGGCAAAGGAAATACAAATAACTTCAGTCGGAAGAAACAGCACATATACTGTATACCCAGAGCTACAACCAGTATGCTTTGTATCCTATTTAAATATTGTGGAGTTTAGTAAATTTATTAAATTATTGCAATTATTCACAAAATGTTAGCACTGAACATTCATCTTCATGAAAAGCATTACTGCTTCAGTATAAACTTTATACAGCTGTGATAAAGAGTAACATGATTTATTGTGAAACTGAAGTGAAAACAAGCACTGCCTCAAATCACAGAGAAAGTAAGGAAAAATACCACACTACAGTTTATTACCTCAAATATGTGTCTTCTCCACATCCCACATTGTTCATTTAAAAGGAAAAATAGTTGTTGTAATAAACAGTCTAACAAGTTTTTTTTCCAAGAAGGAGCTTTGGTCACAGCATGACTATAGAGATGTACAGGAAGAGTATACAACTGAAGACATGACCCAAGAAACATTTGGAGAGGGTATTTTCTGGAGGAATCATGGAGAGTATTTTAAATAATAATATATAATATATAATATAATTAATTAATATATAAATATATAATATAATTAAAAAAATAAATTAGTTATGCTAGGTTTAAAAGTTATTTAAGTTTAAATGGTTTTTCCCTGCAAAACATACAGCCATCTTCAGCTACACTGTCAATCCTCCATATCTTCTCTCAATACCATGTTCAATGTTTTAACAAAACAAACCCCAAAAGTCATAATTAGCCCCAAGCTCCATGACCATTAAGTGTGCTTCAAGTTCTCATTATTTTGTTATTCAGATTCATGACAGCTGAACGGTTCTCAATCAAACAGCTCCTGGAACTAATATATAGCATGAAAAAGAAAATCTAGCTAAATTATAAGGCAAATTTCTAGCACATTCCCAACTGTAAAGCAAATTTCCAGAGAAAAAGTTTGTAGTGTCATCGAGTTCATCCTCAAGACTCAGTAACCAAAAGACGTATATTTAAAAAATGCAGCACCATTTATTTTAAGCAGTTTGAAAAGTCATTCTTGAACCAATCTTCACGTCTTGAGCCTGAAGCATGGTAGCTTAATATTTGAGTTTTGAAATTAGCACGAGAGAGCTTAAAGACTGACCAGATATGAATCTGATATGAATGGTATGAATGTTTTTATTTATTAAAAGTCATCAGAATCTTAACTTTTCAGACTTGGGTGGGTCACAATACTCTACCTTGGATTTCAAACAAATCTGAGAGTAAAACCTCCCCATTCTCTGCTAAGGAAACAGGAAAGGATTCCTGCCATTTTCTTTTTGCAGCCAATGTGTATCACCCGAGGAGACTGAGGAATACTGGATTATAAACATAATGAGTACCTACCTAATGATAAATCATTAGAGCTATAGTTTTCTAATACCTTCTGCATTATGTTACTTAATCCTAAGCATTACCTTCACAAATATTTATCAGTGGGTAACATGATGCAAGAAGATTCTTGATGTGCAAAAGTAATTTTTATATATATAAATAGCACAGAAGTGCCTTTGGCAATAGACTGCAAGACAAGACCTCTCCTTTGAAAGTATACTGCACCTAGAACAGTAACTGAAATCTACTTCTACTGCAATAGAAGTATAATCAAATAGTGTGCACTAGCCATTTTACAACAGTCTTCAACAGAAATCAAATGGTAGCACAAGAACTTGCACCCTAAACCACATATAATCAGACTGCATAGTAGAAAACCTGGCAAAACATCCATGTTGCACCCTCTTCCCTCAGCTAAAAAGATCTCTTTCCTGGGCAGCTCTGTTAGACAGAAGCCTGGCAGCACTGAGATGGTGAGATGGCACAGCTGTGGAGCCACAGTGCAGCCACTGAGAGGTCCCTGTTCCCAGAAGTTCCCCCTTTTCAAATGCCTCACTTTGTTGCATTCCTCATTCCCAAAAGTTCACTTGGGGACAGATGGAAGAGGAATGGAGGAAAACAATTTTTCTTCCATTAGGTGGCACCCTCCCTGTCACTTGTTAATTTTCTATTAACAATTATCTCTTTCTATGTTTAGCTCCCAGTTATTTTAAGGAAATAATACCAGACACCACAAAAAGGACAAAGCGAGGTCCTCTAGCTTGACTCTTCTAATGGTGCTTTCTGAAGCATCAGACCAACTGATAGCATCTTCCAGATATAGCATATAGCTTTCATAGCATATGACCGACTTCGCATCTTTCAGAATCCTACAACTTGCAAAGCACTGACCTCCAGGAAACAGTTATTCGTAGGATTCTGTGAGCAGCAGTGTTACCTTGAGGCCATGCAATCCTGCATTTTGCTACACGGCACTGTGGTGGCAAGCTTAACAATCAGGTGCTTGCAGCCTGGTTTTCAGTGCTCATTTCCAACTACAATCATAATAAATTTTTTAATTGACATAAACATTTCACATCTTCCACTGTTAAACAATGCCCTAGTGAGGCACAGAGCTTTAGTAAGGAAATGCCAGGTAGGTGAAAATGGTTGGTGGAGTTTAGGTCAGAGAAGTGAATTACCTGATTTGGAATTTGGCCAGCATACCAGGGATAACATCTCTAATCTTAAGAAAGTGGTGTGTGGTCTTTAACCACCTCAGGTAGTCAGGACCTCTTTTTCACATTTCAGACAGCTGCTGTCAAGTGCCTAGTTTAGTAGGGTGTGACTCGCTAGTGATTTACACCACCAACTTCAATGTCAGCTACCACTTTCGAGGTCTCAATCCCAGTGCAACTGTAGTTGGACCAGGTACAGCACAAAGAGATACACCTGTAGCTTTTGTGCAGTTGACAGACAGCATTCAGAGAGGGTTCATCTCTGCATTGTGCAATTGCAGCAGGGGGTATGCATGCATTTTTGTAACAGTGCAGCAACCAAAACATCAACACATTCTGGCCTCATTTCTGTGCTGAGAGCAGAACAGTTTCCAGAACAAATACCTTATGCCTGAAAATAAAAAGTGAGCAAAGAACTTATAAATGCATTATGAAGCTTTTTAAATTTTTATTATTTTTTAAACCTAAAGTAAACTGAGTTGCATTCAAAAAGACTGTCCAGTTAACTACTGGAAAAGCCAAAATCCCACTGTGGCCACAACAGACAGCTTGATCAGTGTCTCTTTTTCAAGGTTTTGAAAAGTACCTTTGCATAGTGTGGGAGGGGAGAAGTATAAATTATTACAGTGCCACCTACAGCTCTCAGTAATTGTCAGTCAAAGAAATGTCAAAACCTTAAAAAAAAAAATTGTAGTTGCTCTCCAAAATGCAAACAAACTCTCTGGAACTGGGCTGCTCTTATGTCAAGGAAATAATATTCTGTGTCTGAGCAATACCCTGCTTCCCAGAAAGAGGGCTGCTGCCACAGCCCAGCCTGACCTGCCCTACTCCACCTCTCATAGCCCCACAGTGTTCTCTGAAAAGCCACCCTCCACAGTGTGCCCTCAACTCACCATGGAATTCATGGCAAAATGATTGTGTTGCGTCTGCAGGTCCAGGGCATGTTGGTAACTCACGCCGATCTCCGTGTGACTCTGCAGAAATAATTCTTTGTTGTGGCTGATCCAGTCAAACATCTAGAAGTATCAACAGGGGAAAGAGGGAGGAAAGAAAAATATGTTAGAGATGAAAAAAATGACAGTGCAAAATATAATATTCCACAGTTCTGTGACAGACGGATATGCAACACAGACAAAAAAACTCACCTATATTTCTCAAAAATAAACTCTTATCAAGCAATGGAAGCATTTAAGTTACCACCATATTTCATTATTAACAGAATGGTAAGTCTGGAAGCATAATTCATAAAGCATGTTCCTCAGCAAGCTGATCCCATAGTCTTTTCCTACAGGTAAATGGAATTTTCTGCCATAAAGATGGCAGAAAAGGGACCTGAAATTAGGTTCTTTCACTGACCAAAGTTCTAGCAGTTCATAAAGTACCCTTAATCCAGAAATGGACCAAAAATTCCAGAAATATTATTGATGGGACTTTTTTTGCCCGCTTTCCTTTTAATCTATACATTAAGTTTCCAAATGTCACATCGAAGAAGTCAGTTGACTTCCTACAATTATTTTTTCTTAGATCTGTCCAATTCCAAAGCCAGAACCCATTATATCTTCCAGTTATTATTTTTGGGATTAAGAGAGACAAAGGAGGAGAAAAAAAAAAAAAAGAAAAAAAAAAAAAAGAAAAAAAAAAAAAAGAAAAAAAAAAAAAAGAAAAAAAAAAAAAAGAAAAAAAAAAAAAAGAAAAAAAAAAAAAAGAAGAAAAAAAAAAGGTATTTCATTAATATCTACAAAGAGTACACATTTCAACTTCTGCTTCCAAACAAAATGGATAGTTCAGTACTTCAGACACAGAAATATATTGAATAAAGTTGATGAAATTAATTTCTTATATTTTAGCACATCAATATGACACTTCATTCTGGAGCACGTTTATTCATTATAAAGCTGTCAAAAGTCAGCTAGGAGATAGTGTGTTTATGTTTTGGCTTGTGTTGTGTTAGAAACTAAATGCATTGAAAGTGAGAACCTTTCACTCTTTACCCTTTTCCACAGCTCTGCAGGCATTACAATCTCAGATTTCTTCTTTTCTGCAAAAACATTTGTTATAGAATCTCTACAAACTGTGTTCCCACATCTCCACTCCAGAAAACTGGGGAACTATCCATTCATAAAGAGGCTTCAATTATTAAAAAACACCCAACCCCAACTTACTAATTAATTATAAGGAAAGAACAACTAATTATAGTGGCAGTGGAGGTTAGGTCAATGCAGTCCCTGGTGTTAATGAAAGTGGTTTAGGGTAAAATGGCAAGTGATGCAACATCTAAGCAACCACCTTACATTCACAGGATGAGTTGAGATCTTTGCTGTAGTGTTGTCCTGCAGGCAAGAGCTGTTTATTCTGTAGCACTGAACAACGATTTTTGACCTGAAGAACACTCAGTGCCCCACTGCTCAGGCACTGCACATTGCTGTAATTTCTCAGGGTCAGCATTCCATTCCCTGTAGAGATGGTGCTCTTAAGAACAGAGAAAAGGCCCCGTATGGACCACCTAAGACTCATGCAATAAATGATTGTTTTGTGCTGAGCACTCAATTCAGCATGGGAGTGCATTGTTTTATGCAGGGGATTTGCTGAAATAATACTGAACATCCTTCTCATCCAAATGCACTTAAACACCTGCCACCAAATGCTACCAAACACACTACACTGACCTGGTCCCAAAAATGTGCCATGTATGCCAGACTTCTTAATCTTTTATTTACGAAAATACAATTTCAATTATAGAGTTTATCCTATCTTCTATTGTATGATGATGTGTAGTCTTAAAGGCCAAATTTGCCTCAAGTTATAAAGATGCATGTCCAAAGTAATATCACTGAGACAGTTACTTTCTCATTTGTACCCATGAAGCAGATAAAAAAAACCAAAACAAAACAGAACAAAAACAACAGGCCTATCATCATTTTTTAGAAAGTATAAACAACAAGATTTTTGCAAGGATGAGGTCAGGGATTTCAAACATTACTGCCAATTAAACAGAATGAAACAACCTACTAGAACCTGAAGAAACACCTAAAGCTTTCTCATTGGATTTCTTTTTCTCATTTTATTAGGATTTAATAAGCAACATAAGCACTAAGTACTTTGCCACACTTCTGGGCTTAAAGAAAACAAAACAAAACAAAAAAACCCCACAAAAATCCTCCCCCGCCCCCCAAACAAAGACAATAAAGAAAGAAAAACTCCATAACAGCAAAGTTCATGTTTCAACAACAAGCTTTTACATCTCTGCTAAGAACCCAACACAGATTTCTCATAAGCAGATATGTGTTTGATGTGAACATTTTCTAACGTTTCAAACATTCTAAAGACATTCAGGGAGAAGCAAACTGGCAGCAATCCACTAAAAATAAACAGTAAGTCTAATATTTTATGCTCAGTGAAGCCCAATCAGGATCTTTTAAATACAAGTAATTTAAACTAGTAATCCATTATTCTGTGAATAGGGAGCATTTCCTCAATCTAATCTATACACATACTATTGGATGAGAATCTAGGTTAAGTTAAACCATACTTCTGCCTTTTAAAATACAAAAATAAACTATCAAGAAAAATAATACATTTAAAAGATCATTTAATGTTTTTTCTTCCCTTGTTTAATCAACTGAAATACACAACAGCAGTTGAAAGGATGAGCAGAAATTTTGAGCAACTGAACTCAATGATGAGACCTGTACCAACTTCCAAAACAGTGTTTTTTAAACTTCTATTCATGGACAATAGCAGATTCTGGAAGAGACTCAACTTCAGTTTAGACTTTGAATCTTTCTATTATGTCCTTCATAAAAAATTACTTTGATTTTAAATAGCTTATGCCTGAAGCAAATTATCCCCCATCAATATGATCTGGGTCTCTCCCAGACCCTCTCAAGCCTCACTTGAAATCCCAGAGAAAAAAGAGCTTTGAGTTTCATGTGGTTTGAAGCAAGGCAGAAATAATGCCTAGGAACAAGTGCAGAGAAAAGAAGATGCACATTCACTGTGGTCTAAAGTAGGGCTAATGATGCACTTTGCTCTGTAAAAACTTTCATTGGTCTTGGCTATTAATTAATAATAAACAGTACTTACAATCACTCCTGCTTTACACAGTAACCAGGGCTTTGCAAGGCTGCAGGCATGTCTACTTATGCAATGTATTACTGTGCCTGAGATACCTAAACTAATTTCAGACAAATTGGTACCTCTCATGGCACAATCCATGTGGAAATACTAACTTCACCCTCCAAAACAGCACAGCCTGGGCATAGTACTGCTTGGATTTCTCTACATTGCTTTTGTTTCCAGGGCTGGTTCCTTCAGAGACTTCTCAAGCATTTCTGCTTAATGCTTACTTACCCAGAAGACAGCTTTGGGTTTTCTTTATTGCACAGATATGGCACTCCTAGGTCATGAGATTTGCTTAACAATCATGGGATTAAAATAAATAAATACATTAAAATGAGGTCTTATTTGGCTTTAATATCTAATGGATTGCACTTTCAAACTTTTCTGTTTGACCACAAAGTCTACAAATGGACTTAAACAATTGTCTCATAATAATATTACTGGAAGTTAAGGCTCTGAAAATACCAGATGTTGGGTGACTCAAGAGGACACTGTGAGAGTTTGCAATGTGTGGTCAGGAGGTTTCAATATGAAGGCCTGTCAACATTGTCTGGCCTGGCCCATATTAGTAGAAATATTTCCTGAAAGCTTACAAGTTAAACTTGTTTTCCACATGAGAAACAGTGATGCTTCCTGTGTTCCTGAAGTGAGTGTGCTGCCTAGTTGCTTAATTAAAGAACACCATTAAGGAAGTGAGCATGGCAATGACCCAACAATTGCTATTCTACTCAACCTTGCAAGAACTGCCCTGGTTTCAAAAGGCTAACTTGGACTCCTGGAAAAACATCCTTTGGCAAGTTAGTTTCCCTGTCAAACAATGAGGTTTTAATGCAGTAAATAAGAGACTCTGGAGAATGTGCCCTGTGAGATCAGCTTAAAACAGATACAGTGTCTCAGCTAATTGAGATTATCTGTGTCATGTTAACATTGCTACACAGGACTGGATCAATGGATCTCATCCCATTAATGAAAAAGACTGCCCTAACAAATCTAACGTAGCAATCATAAAATGAATAGATGTTCAACTATTCTTTGCCAACCCCTTAGCTGGAGTCATGCTGACTGGCAGTGAGTTAATTCTCTTAAGTCTGCTAATCTTTCCTGCAGTCATGAATTCACACTATACAGGAGAGCAGAATAACTAAGATTGGACATGATATCACTTAAACCACTTTAACCAACTGTCCTCAGTGTCTCTCAGACTGGCACATCTCCACTGTGCTCGAGACCTATTAAGTAGCTAAGAGTTTTCCACTGAATGAGTAGGTGGGGGAGAGGTTGAGTGTACTTAGAAAGTCCATGTTCAACATTACTCTATCTTGTAGTTCTTGTTTCACGCATAAAGTGAAGGCGTATGCTCAAGAATTTTAAGGGCTACATTTAATTAAGAAAATTATTCTCTTATGAGAGAATAAGAAGAACTAAGAGTGATCCAAAGGGTCTTCGCCCAACGCTTTGCTAAAGCTTCTACCCTTACTGTCGTTAATGATCATATATGCACCAGTAATTATTCCACATGTCATCTTGAGGCCACTTCATTTGAGAGTTTGAGTATCAGAGCACATCTACAACATCGGCCGTGCTGGGAACAATGAGATTTTAACCTCGTGTTTTGTCATCATATTTGATGAGTTACTAGAAAATCCAGGTTAAGCGTTAGACCAAACAGCAGGTCTCAAGCTGGTCATGAATAAGTCCTACAGGGGGAGAACGTGACTCCATACTTTCCCTGGAATTGTACCATCTGGCAGGCTAGTGAGTACAGGGTGAGAACAGCTGTTTGAGAATGGAGAAGAAACACACGGATATGAAACAGGGTGTTTGCAGGCTGTGCAGTCCAGCCGTACCTCAGATAAAGTGAGATTTATAACATTACTTCAAACAATAACCTCTGCTC